GTGTCAAAAAATAAATCTATTTTGAGATCAAATTATTTTGTCTCTAAAAGTTATTTATTATTGACATTTTCAACAATTTTTCGCTAAAAGCCTCCTATTTGACTTTTTAGGTGATTTTTTACGACTATTCTCACAACGATTGAAGAATTCTCTAAATATCTTTCGAACAAAATTTTCACTTTTAGAGATTATAAAAATTTTGTCTCTAAACTCTTATTATGTTGTAGTTCAAATGTGAAAATATCATAACATTAAACAAATAATTAAAGAAGTTAAAAATATAAGAAATGACTTGGCAAAAAATTCTTAGAATATGTTTGATTGATTTTTTAGAAATTTATTTTAAAATTTTTTTTTAAAAAATTAAAACATTAATTTGGTTAAAGAAATAAAAAATAAAAATTATTATTATTTTATATAATTTTATCTTTTGAGTGGTTAGAAGTAATTTTTTATAAATTAAAATAATTTTTTTTTATTTATTTTTTAAATTATTTTTATTTTGAAATTTTTGAAATTTTTTTCTAAACAACAAATCAAACATGGTCCCAAAAACTCTTTTTTTTTTTTTCCATATAACGTAATTCTTTTGTAAATTTTGTTGATTTATCAAAAGATTTTAACAGGAACAATATCGTTCATTTATTTATATTTTGGTATGTCAGCTAGCCTTTCTTAACGTTTACTTAACGGTAGGAGTTAAAATTTGTTATGCGAATATAACCTCGAGAGGCGGAATGTAATTTCTGAAATGTCAAGGGGAATCTATAATTTAGTAAACTCGAGGGTGTGTAAGGTAATTTACCCTAAAAAAATTCAGAGTTTGAATTTTTTTTTTTTTAATTTTGTTTGTTTAAAAAAATAATAATATTTAGTCATTAAATCAATGAAAATTATATTTTATAATTTTATATATAATTAGATTTATTTTAATTGTTAAAATATATATTATTTTTTTATCAGCTTTACATAATGTTTTAAAGCTTTAGTAACGAAAATTGAATATTAGTGATTAATTATTATCTTTTTGGTATCAAATTTTTTGTCTCAAAAAATAAACCATTATGAGACCAAATTATTTGTCCCTAAAAATCTATTTATTATTGACATTTTCAAAATTTTATCGCTAAAAGTCATATTTTTGACTTTTCAGGATGATCTTTTAGTGATTATTCTCACGATGATAGAAATTAGTTCCTAAATGTCTTTTGCAACAAAATTTTCACTTTTAGAGATCAAAAAAATTGGTCTCTAAAACTCTTATATGTTGTAGTGTCAAATGGTGAAAATATCATAACATTAACAAATAATTAAAGAAGTTAAAAATATAAGAAATGACTTGGCAAAAAATTCTTAGAATATGTTTGATTTGATTTTTAGAAATTTATTTTTAAATTTTTTTTAAAAAAAATTTAAAAATAAATTTCTAAAAATCAAATCAAACATATTCTAAGAATTTTTTGCCAAGTCATTTCTTATATTTTTAACTTCTTTAATTATTTGTTAATGTTATGATATTTTCACCATTTGACACTACAACATATAAGAGCTTTAGAGACAAATTTTTATAATCTCTAAAAGTGAAAATTTTGTTACGAAAGATATTTAGAGAATTCTTCATATCGTTGTGAGAATAGTCGCTAAAAAATCATCCTAAAAAGTCAAATATAAGGCTTTTAGCGATAAAATTTTGAAAATGTCAATAATAAATAGACTTTTAGAGACAAAATAATTTGATCTCAAAATAATTTATTTTTTGACACAAAAAATTTGATACCAAAAAGATAATAATTAATCACTAATGTTCAATCCCCGTTGCTACAAAATATAATAACGACATTTTTCTAAATATAATTTTGTCCTTAAATTTTGGTAAAATCTTAATTTTTTGTAGTGTGATAAGTGTTTTTCCATTTTAATTTTGCATTTCGTAACTTATTTAAAAATGATAATTTAGCTAAACCTCAGGGAAAATCTGTAATTTAGTTAAACATCAAGAGAAATCTATAATTTAGCTAAACCTCAAGGGGGTGTAGTTAATTTGCCCTTATATGTCAAAAGGGCATTTTAGTCAATTTATGATATCTGTTAACGGCGTTAATTGCGATGGGACGAGAGCATCTGTAATTTCGTTAAACCTTAAGAGCATTCACAATGGGTGTGTTAGTATATTTGTTAGTATCAGTTGTTAATTTTTAGCTAGCAAAGTTTGTTGTTTGGTGTTGCAGTGGAACTGCTAAGGGCAGCGTTTGTAACCTTTGTTAGTGTCAGATGTTAGATTGTTTGTTAACTGCAGCAAGCGTTTTAGCCAGCGAAGAGAGAGAGAAGAGTGTGTTTGGGGAAGTCCTCTCGGACGTCTAGACCCTTCAAGAAAAGGAAAAAAAAAAAAATTGGGGTCTTACCGTCCGGCCGAATAACCGGCGATCAACTGAATTTTATTTTTTTTACTTGTTGGGATTTTTTTTGGGCTTGAAATTTAATTCTCTACTAAATTTGTTTTATATTTTTTTGGTTCTTTTAAACATAATTTTAATAAACAAAAATAAAGGGTGTGTTTGATTTGTGTTTGTAGAGTAGTTTTTGAGATAAAAAGTACGAAAACTTGTTTGGTTTGCCTTTTTTCAGAAATGGTTTTGGAAAATTATTTTGGGGAGAGAGTTTTAAAAAAAGTGATTGATCTGATGTGTATGACAGAAAGAGTGATTTTGGAAAGTAGGTAACCAAACAAAATTTTGAGATTTTTTTTGAAAAAATTTGTTTGGTTTGATTACTCTTGAAAATTTATTTGTAAAAAAATTTTAGAAAACAAACCAAACCTAGCCATATATTCTTAACACACACTCTAACACATCTTTTGTATCATCATTCACTTACTAAATTAATAAACTTTTAACATTCATTTTTTGGTCCTATTTTTAACATTTTTTGTCATATAACACACATTTTAACGCATAACTTTAACACATCCATTGTAGATGCCCTAAGGGAGGTGTAAGTAATTTGTCTTTTTTTTTTTTTTTTTAACTTGAAAGGGTTAATTTGTTTTTGAGATAAAAGACAAGGGGATAAAATGTAATTAGTCAATATCTTAAATATAAAAATTATAATTTAAAGGATAAAATATCTAAATAATAAGATTTATTAAAATATATTATAAATATTTAAAAAAATGATTTCCTAATCGTTTTATGATACTACAATTGTTTGATTCTTTTGTAGTTCATAGGGCAGGGCATGTAATTCCCTCCATTTATGCCCTTCAAATTCCACTCAACAAGAAAGAAACCTCTCACATGCCATGGCAACCACCATGATGACCCAACCCATCTTACCTTTCCCTTCCCACCCAAACCCCACCACCCTTCTCCACCACCACCTCCTCTTCTCTCTCTCCTCCGCCACCTCCCTCACTCACCTCAAACAAATCCACGCCAAAATCCTCCGCCACGGCCTCGACCGCTCCAACTCCCTCCTCCTCAAACTCCTCCTCTCCTCAACCTCCCTCTCCCCCAATCTCAACTACGCTCTCTCCGTCTTCTCCCAAATCCCCAACCCCCCAACCCACCACTCCAACCAATTCTTGCGCCAATTGTCTCGTAGCACCGAACCTCAGAGCACCCTTTTGGTATATGAGAAGTTGAGGAGGGAAGGATTGGGTGTTGACAGGTTTAGCTTACCTGCATTGTTGAAGGCATCGTCGAGAGCTTCGGCATTGATTGAAGGGATGGAGATTCATGGGTTGGCTTCGAAATTGGGTTTTGATGAAGACCCGTTTGTGCAGACGGCTTTGGTGGGGATGTATGCTGCTTGTGGTCGAATTTTGGATGCAAGGATGGTGTTTGATAAAATGTCTCACAGAGATGTGGTGTCTTGGAGTATAATGCTTGATGGGTATGCTATTCTGTATTGTGTTTTATTGATTGAAATGCTATTATGGGTATATACTTGCAGCTGTACTATGAACACAAGATTTTCACATCATGAAACACAAAAAGCAAAGCCTCACATCTGTGTTCCATTATGTGAAAATCCAATGTGCATTTAGATTTACTCATATACACATTGGAATGACAATTCTACGTGAGTTTTGTATTAATTTATTGCTTTTGGAGTAATATTTGTAATTAGTGAAGCTTCTCTCTCTCTCTCTCTCTCTAGGTCTTTCTAATTAAATAAATTCAAAAAAATTCACTAAAAACTAAAATAAAATTCCAAACCCCACCTAAACTTTCCCAATAACAAAAGTAACTTTTTTAGCATTTGCCAAACCTATCAACGTTTTGACAACAATTTTATCTTAAACAAGTTAGAAAGCAAAAAGAAAAAAGAAAAAGAAAAAGGAAAAAAAACTGCTAAGACTGTATTTGCCAAATCAGCCCTAAATGTTGCTAATTTGGTTGTTTTACTGGTACAACAGTTACTGTCAGAGTGGCCTCTTTGATGATGTCCTGGCACTATTTGAGGATATGAAGAACTCCTATGTGAAACCAGATGAAATGATTCTTTCCACCATTCTTTCTGCTTGTGGCCGTGCCGGAAACTTAAGTTATGGGAAAGCAATCCATGAGTTGATTGTTGAGAAACATATGCTTGTTGACCCTCACTTACAGAGTGCTCTTATCACCATGTATGCAAGTTGTGGATCAATGGAATTGGCCCAGAATTTGTATGATCAGCTCTCACAGAAAAATGTAGTTGTGTCGACTGCCATGGTTTCTGGGTACTCAAAACTTGGTAATGTCGAAGCTGCTTGCTTGATTTTCAATCAAATGGATGAAAAAGACTTGGTTTGTTGGAGTGCTATGATCTCTGGTTATGCAGAGAGTGATCAGCCTCAAGAATCTCTCAAGTTGTTTGATGAAATGCAGGTTTCTGGGATTAGACCGGACCAAGTGACAATGTTAAGTGTTATCTCAGCTTGTGCTCATCTTGGTGCATTGGATCGAGCCAAATGGATTCATATATATGTTAATAATCATGGTTTTGGAGAAGCATTGCCTGTCAACAATGCCCTTATTGATATGTATGCGAAATGTGGAAGTGTGGAAGGAGCTAGAGAAGTTTTTCATCGACTGCGTAAAAAGAACGTGATATCTTGGACCAGTATGATCAGTGCCTTCGCCATCCACGGGGATGCTAGTAATGCGTTGAAGCTTTTCCATCGAATGAAAACTGAAAACATAAATCCCAATGGGGTTACATTTGTGGGTGTGCTTTATGCTTGTAGCCATGCAGGATTGGTTGAGGAGGGACGGAAAATATTTGCATCAATGGTAAATGAATACAAAATCACACCCAAACATGAGCACTATGGTTGCATGGTAGATCTCTTTGGCCGTGCTAATCTAATACGCGAAGCTCTTGAACTCGTAGAGCAAATGCCTTTGGCACCTAATGTTGTGATCTGGGGATCTCTAATGGCTGCTTGTCGGGTCCACAGTGAGTTTGAATTAGGAGTGTTTGCTGCAAAACGGCTTCTTGAGTTAGACCCTGATCATGACGGGGCACATGTTGTCTTATCAAACATTTATGCGAAAGAGAGGAGATGGGGAGATGTTGGGGAGGTGAGGAGATTGATGAGACATAGAGGCATATCCAAGGAGCGAGGTTGTAGTAGGATTGCGTTGAACAATGAGATACACGAGTTTTTGATGGCAGATAGAAACCATAAACAAGCGGATGAGATCTACACGAAGCTAGATGAGGTGGTTGGTGAGTTAAAGCTTGTTGGCTATGCTCAAAATACCAGTGATGTTTTGGTTGATTTAGACGAAGATGAAAAGAGGGAAGTGGTTTTATGGCATAGTGAGAAGTTAGCTCTTTGTTATGGGCTGATGAGAGAGGAAAAAGAGTCTTGCATTCGCATCGTCAAGAATCTTAGGGTTTGCGATGACTGCCATACTTTTATGAAGTTGGTATCCAAGGTTTATCAGAGGGATATTATTGTAAGAGATAGAACTAGGTTTCATCATTACAAAGATGGTGTGTGTTCTTGTAAAGACTACTGGTGACATTTTGTTATATTTTTGGTATCCAAGATAAGCATTGTTATAAGAGATAGGACTAGGTTTCACCATTACAAAGATCGTCTAAACTATTTGATTATTAATCAAATTAAAACGTTTGATTTTCTAAACTAATGATTCAACATTATACCTCTCTCAGTTGCTTTCGCGAGCACATTAAACACACCTTTCTTCCTCAGTCCACACACTTAGTTGACAAATATGTTAGAGATCTCAAAAATTTTGCCAAAATTTCTACGAAATGTCTCACATGAGTGTGAGACTTACATGGGACCCACATGGTGTGGGAACCACATGGTGTGGATCCCACACCTACACCCATGTGAGACATTTGGTAGAATTTTTAGAGTCTCTAACATTACTCCTTAGTTAAAATTTTAATTACAATTTTTAAAACTAAAATTACCGTAATACCCTTATCGTCTATGTCCCAAACTCTAATCCTCAAGCAATTATATAGTTGCTTGCCACCATAGCCATTGACCACCACATCCATTGCCGCTAACCACCCACAATGGGTGGCACCCTTCACTGCGAATCCCCTTCCACTGCAAACCCCTACTTCACAAATTATTGATATCTCTCTCTCTCTCTCTTTCTCTCTCTCTCTCTCTCAAACCCTAACCATAGCTAGTAAGCCATGGCAGGTGTTAGTATATTATTATACTTTAGCATTGTTTATTATTCTTTAAGCATTGTATACGTTAGTTGTTATTATTATGTTTGTTAGCTTTATGCTTTCGGCTAGCTTTAGCCTTTCGGTGCCTCGCGTCTCGCATGCCGCGCATCCAATGACAGGCTATAAATGAGAGCTAAGCTCCCTTTGTAAAACACAACATACATCAATATATACATACAATTTATTCTCTCTCTATCAATTTATCTTACATGGTATCAGAGCTATAGGTTAAACTCTTAGTGTTCTTCGTCTTCCGGCGGGCGGCAACCTTACCTTGACCGCCCGCCGGACCTCAACCTAATTGACCACCACATCCATTGCCGCTAACCACCCACAATGGGTGGCACCCTTCACTGCGAATCCCCTTCCACTGCAAACCCCTACTTCACGAATTATTGATACCTCTCTCTCTCTCTCTCTCAAACCCTAACCATAGCTAGTAAGCCATGGCAGGGAAGGGGTTGGGGTGGTCACAGTAGGTGGAAGATGGGCTAGGGTGGTTGGGGAAATGTGGCTCTCTCTCTCTCTCTCTCTCTCTCTCAAACCCTAACCATAGCTAGTAAGCCATGGCAGGGAAGGGGTTGGGGTGGTCACAGCCGGTGGAAGATGGGCTAGGGTGGTTGGGGAAATGTGGGGGAGGGGGCTTGGTGGTTATTTTTATTTTTATTTTTAGAGGGTGGGGTTGGGGTTAAGGTTAAGGTCAAGATTAAGGTTTTTATTTTATTTTATATGAATATGTATGTTTTTGGTATATTATAAAATATTTAAAAATTGCGTGCATTGAAAAAAGATGTACACTAAAAGAATTGGGCGTGTTGAAATGGAAGTTCCCACAATGTATTCATGATAAAAATTGCCCATTTGACCAGCAGTTTAACAGATTAGAATATAACACATCTTTAAGTTGTAAACTCTTGAACGATACCGAACACAGCAGCAATACGAATCAAAAGATACTCAGATGCTTCTCACAAGGAATGAGAATTGGATACTACTGGTCTCTCATGTAGGGACTTTGAAGTTGTCTTCTAAAAACCCACTGTACTGGTTTCCAAATGCAGACAATATCCAGAACTCTTGCTTCATCCTTCTAAATGCTCTCGTCAGCCTAAATTTCAGAAATTGCAGCATGGCCGACACTATTCTTGAATTCTCCACCACTCTGGCCTGCGTGTATTCGAGTATCCATGTGTTCGGATCTAATTGCACAGCTGAGGCACTCCATTTTTGGTGTACCCAGGAGTTGTTGGCCTTCCTAGTGGAATAGCTGACCTTCCCATCAGACCACTGTCAAGTAAAATTCACAAAATTCAAGCTATAAGCTTTGTGTGGCATCAAGATCAACCATGATCTTCTCTGCATAAAAAACAGCTTCAACCTTTCACAAGAATTTCACTAGTTGGCATGTTTGGTATCGTCTTTTGGTTTTCTGATTTCATTTCCGAGAAAACACAGAAACGTGTTTGAGGATTTGCTTCTGAAATTGGGATTTTTTCCCCCCATTTTTTGGTTAAAAAATAACCCACTTTTAGGAAACTATCCAAAGTTGTTTTTGAAATTTCAAAAACTGTTTTCGCAAATAAATTAGAACGATTGGTGTTTTGACGTGATACAATAACATGATTCTCCTCTAACCCTAACACTCATATTAATCAGATACCCAAAAATCAACTAAATGGGTTAATTTGAAGTGAGATATTTGGGTGTACCTCTGTAACTCTTCCAGACAAGATGGTGAATGATCGCGAAGAAAATTCGGCAGTGAGCAATCCAGCAGTCTGCAAGGGCCATCCCCATATGCTCACCTCCTCAGTAGCCGATTTGTACAGTGAACAACGCGAATTCAATAGCAAATTATCCTAAATATCCATCTATGATTAATTAGTCTATTATTAATCTCAAATAAATTAGCCCCAAGAAAAGAAAAGAAAAAAAATGCAACAAATTAAAGCTAGGGTTTTGGAATACCTGATTGATTTCCCATATAGAATCATTAGAGCTACAACTTGAGACATTGTCATTGATCAAACTCTGTAGTTCTCTCTGCAAGAATTCAAATCTCCCATTTATATCTTGAGAAACCCATGATTTCTCAGCCACATTTCTCACTACACCCGGCGAGAATTGGGGATTTAGAATCCCGGAAACCACCCAAGAAAATCCACATTCTGCCGAGAAAATCAAGCTCAGACCCACAACAAACCTCATCAGAGAAAACCCAAAACCCAGATCTCTCTTCTTCCTCTTAATCTTCTCATGAAAACCCATTCTCCCCGTAGAATTAAGAGGCGGCGAGGCCATAACTCTTGGATTTCCCGATCTGGGTGTTGACAAAAATGAGGAATTGAACGAAACAGGGGTTGTTGGGACTGGTTTTGAGATCTTGGTGAGAGAACTTCTGTGAATGCTTGAAGGCATGAGATCGAGAGTGGCATTGATGCTTGCTAAGCAGATTTTGCAGTTGCAATTGGTGTCTCTTCGACATCCCGGAACGTAACAGCTTTCTCTGGATTCAGATGAATCATCGTCCATGGTGGCAGTGGTGGTGGTTGCGGATGATTTTCCAGAGGAAGAGGATGGTGAGGTCAGAACTGCTGCTTTCATGGTTTCTTTAGTTTGTTAATGGCCTCTGTGTGTGCGTGTGTTCTGGGTTGTGTCGGTTTTTCTTGAGAGATCTTTGGTGTTAAGAAGATCAGATTTTGAAATTTGAACACAACGGTCATATGGAAAGAGAAGAGCACAAGAAATGGGCTGGTTTCATCTTGGGACTGGAGTCTGGATTATCTCCAGTTGGGCAGCCTACCGTCCAGTCCAGCCCATTTAAGGCCTATTTCGGGTCTATCTTGATAATTCGAACCGTTAAATACATAGAATTCATCGAGTATTTTTTCTAATAAAAAATTACGTTAATTAGATATCGATAGCTACTTAATCAGTACATAGATATTCAATTAACGTGATTTTTAACAAAGATGAAATACTCGACGAGTTCTATACATTGATTCGAATCATCAATTTGGACTCCATAGTAGATCCACGGAGGCCCAACAGTGCTGTCCAATCCAATTAAGACTAGAGACAAGCCTAAGCCTACTTTTAAACATTCTTTAAGGCACCGTTTGGGAAGCAAAACTTGGGCTAAATTAGCCACGTCCGGACAAATTAGGCTTATTTAGCCACATGGAGACAAAACTGCATTCACGGGTACGTTTGAAACCCTTATTGGGGTAAATTTACCAAAATACCCTGAAGAGATCCCTCCGATTCTGAGGGACAACGCCTCATCACACACACACAACCTTCCCAAACGGCACACAACAAGCGAAATAGGCGATTCATGTATACTAGCGGCGACGACGACATCTGAACAAGCTTCGCAGAGGCGATCGGCACCGGAGTACGCATCTATGGCCGCGAACAAGAACCAACCCTCTCAAACACAAACCGATCTGCAGGTAATGCTTTATGACCTAACTGATTTCGTTTCCCTTTTTGCGTCTGTGTGGCCCCTGCTTCCAAGCTGCATAGTATGGGTTCATAACCGGTTGGGTTCATGACCGATCTGTTTGTTTACCGTCGTGATTGGGTTGATTACGGTTACATTTCACACATTTGGGGCAGATAGATATATATATATCTGTGAAAAATTATATATCTGTTCTTATATTAAACACTGTAAATCTGTTCAATTAGGGTTGATTACGGTTACATTTCACACATTTGGGGCAGATATATATATAAATTAATATATATCTGTTCTTATTTATATATTTGTTCTTATATGAAAATCTGTAAAATTTGTCATATTTGGGTTCATTTCGGTTACATTTCACACATTTGGGGCAGATATATATATATATATATAAATTAATATATATCTGTTCTTATATGAAAATCTGTAAAATCTGTTCGGTTTGGGTTCATTATCGTTACATTTCACACATTTGGGGCAGATATATATCTGTTCTTATATGGTTTGAAGGCAGATATATGTATCTGTTCTTATATTTTCATGTAGATCAACCCATGGTAAAGATTAAAAAACAGGCAGCATATGAAAAATAAAAACAACCTGTTCTGTTCAAAACTGTTTGTTCTGCATTTCTTTTTTTTTTCTTCTTATAATTCACATTACAAATTATCAATTTCATATCAAAATTTCAAATTTATGTATACAACTGCTGACTGATGACATCAATTTTGTGAATGAATATCAATTTCTGTTACAAAATTCATTTTAGTCAACATTGGTAATTTGATTACTTATCACTGTCATGATAAACTATTTTCATGTAAATCAAGCCATGGTAAAGATTAAAAAACAGGCAGCATATGAAAAATAAAAACAACCTGTTCTGTTCAAAACTGTTTGTTCTGCATTTTTTTTTTTTCTTATAATTCACATTACAAATTATCAATTTCATATCAAAATTTCAAATTTATGTATACAACTGCTGACTGATGACATCAATTTTGTGAATGAATATCAATTTCTGTTACAAAATTCATTTTAGTCAACATTGGTAATTTGATTACTTATCACTGTCATGATAAACTTCATTTATGATTTGTGAATTACCTATTGATCATTTATGAAATGGTCTGTCAATGAATAAGGAAAACGCATGATCTGAATGGGTTCTGTCATTTTTGAGTCAATGCTGGAGACGATGTCTCCGTCTGTGAAATACCTATTGATTTATTATTAAGTGAATTACCTATTGATTTGTCAATGTTGAAGAGAATGTCTCCATCTCTCTTCCAAAAAACACTCCTCACGGGTAGTCTTGATTCTTATATGGTCACATTTTTGGGTTGTCCTTATTCAACTTCACTTCTTCAAACACTGTTACCTTCATTATGTTACATGCGGATAAAACCCTCTGCTTTCTTCATTCATATCTATCTTCATTAAAAGCTGAATGGGTTACCAGTTGAATATAACTCTTTCTCAGTTGATCTAGTCTAAGTATATATAAATTAATGCTGTATTTTTCATTCAAAAAAGTAAGTCTAATTTGTGTATGCATGTGCATACAAACTTTAATCTTCAAAATTATTGATATCAATAGACTGTTCGGAAATTTCAAAAAACATCAGAAGATAATAATAATAATAATAATATAATTTGATCATGAATTCTTCATCTCTGTCATGTAAACACACGGTGTTCATGCCCTGTTGTTATGTCATTGAAATCTAAATTTACCAAATTACATATTTACCTTTCTAATAACATTCACAATGAAACCATGAGAATGTAGGCTGCTTTTCTTTAAAATAAACGGAAGGAAGTTGACAGTTTGTATACATATCCATTGAAACATGTGCATCATCGTATTAAGATAATATTTAACCTGATAGACAGATAACATAAACTAATTACTTACATGATTCATTGTCACTTCCGAATGTTTGTAAATCATAGCATGGCTTCGTTTATCTCTACTGCAACTTCCAGTACATGGCCACGACGAATGTGTGCCTGTGGACATGGCTTTTGTATTGTTAAGATTTCCAGGTCCGCCAAAAATCCAGGCCGTCTCTACTATGCATGTCCCCGCCCTGTGGTGAGGCACCCATTCTTTACCGGTCATAACTATATGAACATTAACAACCCATTGACTAATAGTTCCATCATTTGCACTAATCAGCCCTATGTCAGTTGAATTGGTTGGTGCGAAGAACCAAGGCGAGAGAACCAAGACTATGCGTCACCCAGAGACGAACTTGTCATGCAATTGCAGGCTGATGTCATAGACATTCAACAATCCTTGTGTGTCCTTAAGACCATTGTGTATGTGCTATGCATTGTTGTTGTCATTTTGTTGTTCCGTATGTAAGAAACGTTGGATGTTGTCAGTATGTATAAACACGTTAGGACGTTGTTAGTATGTTTTAGTATGACTTTAAGCTGCCTTTGCCTTTGTTAGTACGAAATGGTTGACGTATTAATGACTATCATAACTATGTCCACTACTTAGTTCCATAGAACCTGTGCACGTATGTTATTACTGTGCAATGGTTATATGCTCCCTAATTTAGCATCCTATCTCTCTGTTTCTTGTTATTAATATGTAATGGCTTATGCATTTGTATATAACAACCGAATTCGTGAAGGTAATCTTTTGTAACCATGCATTAGTAATGGCTTCCATACGTACTTCTCCGCGTACCCAATCGAAAAGCAAAGGCATTGTCACTGACAAGTCAAGCAGTCTTGAAGAGACACATCAGTTCAGCCACAAAGCCTCATGAGACAGTGACTCAATCCGAGTTTTCCTACAGTTGATTGCAAATGAGATTACTAAAGGAAATCGCCCATTCCTAATCCTCAGCCAAGCAGGGTACAAGTCCTTGGCAAGGAAATTTGAGACAAAAACAGGAAGAAAACATGGACTGAAACAGTTGAAGAATAAGTACATGAGTTTGAAAAAAGAGTGGCAAGCGTGGACAAAGTTGATGGATTTAAGCAAAGGAGTGCCAGGGATAGGGTTTGACTGTGACGCCGGTCTATTTCAGGCACCTGAGGAGTGGTGGGACAAGATGGAATCGGTAAGTACATGTACAAACAAGTTTCATATTTTTCATTTACCAGTAAATTTTTAACTTTTGTAGTTAACTTTTAATTAATTATATAAAATGTAACGTCATTCTCTTTAATGTATCTCTATTTCTGTAGATAAACAAGGTGTGTGCCAAGTTCAGGAAAAAAACCTTGGAACATCGTGAGTTGATGGAGACGGTCTTCATGGGGGTATCAGCTACTGGTAAGCACCATTGGACCCCGGGAGAGAAACTTCCTAAAGCTGCTGATGACTCATCTGATTTAGTGCATAGTTTGAGAGCCCAGCCATTTGCTGATCCGACACCCACAGGAGTACAGGACGTGGATTCAGATTCTTTACTGGAGCATGTTTCGATTGAAAAGGGGAAAAGGAGAAAGATGCCATCAACAAGTGTTTCAAAGTTGAAGAAAGCAACAAGTGGAGCGTCAGTTATTGCAGAAATCATGAACAATCTGACAGATATGGTGCGTACGAAGAATCAGCAGATTACGGTAAGGCACCTCACAGGTAACGAATCGTTGTACACTATTTCGGAGTGCATGCATCGCCTGACGAGTATTCCATCCTTGGTTGGTACGCTGTTATTCCACTTCGCCTCGACACTTATGGATAATGCCGATTTGCGGGAGGAAATGATGTGCCAGCCTGATGACGACTCTATTGTAGGGTGGCTTACACAACAGCAGCTCCAATGTACTGCGTCGGCACCTTTTGCACACCTGTTTGGGTCTCGCCGGATGTGATCTAGCGGTGTTACGAGTGTTGAAGATGCCTATCCTTCTCTTGCATTATGAAAACTTTTACTTATGTTATTGTTGGCACTGTATTAAAATAGGATGGTTGTGTGTGCATGTTTTTATTCTTTTCTTTTTGTTTTTTTCTTGCTACCTATGGTGAACAAAACTTTTAGTTCTATGCTTGGGTTGACGGAATGGAAGCATGGTTGTGCATGCTTTTTTGGAAATAAATGGGATGCTTCTGTTTAAATTAAATGTGTGGCTATTTTTAAGACAGGCAACAACGGATTTTCTTGCTAGCTTTTGTATGTCTATATTTTGCAAATTTAGCTGTTAGTTTACTTTGACGTCAACTTTTATGGTTGTTACCACCATGGTCCCCTTGTAAATGAAAGTTGAACATGTTTACAATTTGTGCAATTCATATCATCATGCGTTACTAATGACATTGGTAACGACATTACTTACATTAAAAACAATGTCGGCATTTTTTAATTGCAATTGTTGAAATAATTTGAGTCAATGAAAGGGAAAGCAAACTGATTGAAAGAGTGCCACTCTTGTAGGTCTTGGATTTCAACGAAGACGTAATGAATCCCTGGGATGGAAGCAACAATGACGGAATAAGGGAAATGCTTAATCAAATGGCGGTCCAGGTGCAACAAGAACACAACTGCACATTTCTACAAGCATGCCAATATGCTATAGAATGGTATGAAAAACACATGGCTAAAACGCCATGTCGCACTTCTATACTGACCGGAGTGCATGGATATCCGAACTATATGCGGGCCATATGGGCCGATTTGAGGAAAATGTTTGCATGCCGAAGGAAGTTTTTTGTCGCATTATGTGAGACATTAGTAAATAATTTTTGGTTACAAGTCCCGCAACGTCCACATGGCTTAGCTATTGAAGAAAGTGTTGCAATGTTTATCCATGTGTTGAAATGGAAGCAAAATCGAGAAATCCAAGAACGGTTCCAACATTCGGGGGAGACTGTGTCTCGGCACGTGCATAACGTATTAACTTCCATGAAAGAGTTCACTGTTGTTCATTGCCGGCCCACATACAGTCATCATCGTATACATCCATACGTGCGGTCTAGACGGAAATGCCTACCGTTCAAGGTACTACTGAAAAACATTATTGACATATAAATAAAGAGTGTCAGTTATTTTGTTTTTATTATTAACTGGACGTGACGTATGGAAAAAACCAAACACTTGTTACCCGTTTAAGCAACAAAAGAATTGGGTTGTTTGCAGGACTACATTGGAGCAATAGATGGAACACATGTAAGTACATGGGTTACGGGGCCAGATGCGGCAACATATTTCGGTAGGAAATACTGTCACACGCAAAATATCATGGCCGCAGTCGATTTTGACATGTGTTTCATATTCATTTCGTGCGGATGGGAAGGAAGTATGCATGACAGTCGCATATTTAACAAGATACTAACAAATGACAATGTCCCATTCCCACATCCTGACGAAGGTAACACCCTACTTTGAATTAGATTTATGGGGCTATAATTTTTTCTGAAACAACGTTACTTGAAAATGAAGCACAATGTTTGGTTTTGGTGTCATACATTGTTGTCTTGTCTGCAGACAAATATTATCTTGTCGATTCTGGCTATCCAAACCGAATAGGTTACTTAGCACCATTCAAAGGCAACCGTTACCACCAACAAGAATTCCAACGTATTCCACGGAACATGACTGCAAACACGCCAAGGGAATTATTTAACAAAGTTCACTCATCCTTACGAAGTGTGGTGGAACGCACTTTTGGTGCCTGGAAAAATTGATGGGGGTTTATTCGAGACATACCTCGGTATGACTTTGCAAATGTGCAAGTTCAGTTAGTAGGTGCGTCAATGGCATTACATAATTATGTACGACGAAACATAGGTAATCCAACAACTGTTCACCCAATCTGTGACAAGGAAGAGGCTATGACAATAGTAAATGCCATACCAGAAGTTGAACATGACGAGGATGGTTTAATGGTTGGGGATGAGGACTCACATATGGCATTGGTGCGCCTTCGCATACGCGAAAAATTATGTTACATGCGTAATAACAAAATGTTAGGAAATATATAATAGTCGACCTAATTTTCGTAGGGTTGTAACATTGGTAACACACGTGGAACAGACTGTATTCAAATATATTATTATGTATCAGTAGAATGTGTTTACACGGGAATATACCCCCTTTTTGTTGCTAACGTGCCTAATTTTGGAAAACCAAAAACCACATAAAAAAGCCTTTTCGAAAAAGAAAACAAGGTGAAACAAATAAGAAAAAAAAAAACAACTAATACAGAAATTATCATGTGCGACGTCAATTCAAAACATAAAAACACAAGTTGAAAACAACAAAAAAACCAAAACAGACCCTCATTTTTTGTCATGTGCCACGACAATATATGATTTTCCACATCATTTTAAATAAATGACATAAAAAAACGTTTTTCCAAACAAAAAACCAACCGAAATTAGCATTTGCTATGTAATTTACAAATAAATACAACACATGAAAACCCATTTGTCAAATATAAAAACAAATTAATGTATACAAATTAAAAAAAAATTACTGAAACGTAAATTTAAAAAAGAAGAACGACAAACACAGGCCTCATCCAAAAAAAAAGGAAAAAAAAAAAACAGAAATTAGCATTTGCCACGTCATTTACAAATAAATAAAACACATGAAAATCCATTTTTGTAATATAAAAACAAATTAATGTGAGTGAATAAAAAAATGACAAAATCGTAAATTTAAAAAAAATAACGAAAAAATACGCCTCATTCAAAAACATTTAAAAAAAAACATGAAAACATAAATTACCATTCCCTAATTTACAAATAAATGAAACACATAAATAAAAAAAAAATTTTATTGTATACCAATAAAAATAAAGAAGGCAAAAAACGTAAATTAAAGAACAAGAACTAATTAATGTATAAAAAAAAAATTTAAGCAAAATACGCCAAATCCAAACCCAAAATAAAAAAATAAAAATAGAATTTTTTTTAAGCAAAATATGCCAAATCCAAACCGAAACCCAAAATAAATAAAAAAAAAAACAAAAAAAAAATGTAAGCAAAATACCCCAAATCCAAACCCAAAATAAAAAAAATAAAAAAAAAAAACAAAAAAAAAATGTAAGCAAAATACCCCAAATCCAAACCCAAAATAAAAAAAATAAAAAAAATTTAAGCAAAATACGCCAAATCCAAACTGAAAATTAAAAATAATAATAATAAATAAAATTTAAGCAAAATATGCCAAATCTAAACTCAAAATAAAAAAATTAAAAAAAGCCAAAAAGGGCAGTTTGGTAATTTAATAAGAAGACACCTCACCAAAAAGTCAAAAAATAAAAAAGCCCTTCCCAAATCAGACTTTTTAGCCCCAGGCTAAAATAGCTAAAAAAGTTAAAAAGTCAACTCACTTTTCAAACGGAGTCTAAATGGATTGAAAATGCTCTACTTTACTTTGCCAAAATCTTAAAATTCCATTTTAATTTTTAGTGGTGAAAATTAACTTCTTCTTACATGCTTGCTTGGGGACTTACATAATTGTTTATTTTTGAAGCTTTTTATTTTTATTTTTATTTTTTATGGGCAAATTACTTATAAGTTCTTTTTAAAAAGTGTATTCCATTTAATCTCAAAATCTTTTAAATAAATCTATTTAGATAAATCTAAAAGTTCTGTACTTATTTATCTTATCATCGCTTCTCTACACATTGCTTCTTCTCTTTATCTCTTTTTCTCTGATATCGACGATGACGACAACGACCACCGTGTTTTTTTTTTTTTCTTTCTAATCTACAATCACCGGTGACCGATTACTTTGTGTTCACCGATGGTGAAAGATATGAGTTTCCGACGAAGAAGATGAGTAAATCTACTCAAATCTGATGTAAATCTACTCAGATCTACATAAGATCTGAGTATATCTACGTTAGATCCAACTAAATCTAAACCAAAAAATAATTGTCAGAATACAAGCATCTCTCTATATCTATTTTTTTCCTTTGATCTCTCAGTTATAATACTTTTTCTGTAATATATACTTCTATTTTTCTATTATAATGAAGAAAATTTTCAAATTCTGAACAAGTTGTTTTTGAATTTTAATTACAGGCGGTGAAAATTATAAAATTTTACAGTTTCAATTTTTTTTTTGTGCTGAAATGAATCATTCTTTAGAACTATAAAATGTTACAATTTCATAACATGTGTTTTTAGTTTGATTAATAAGGATAAATACTTAATAGAATCATACTTTGAAACTGTAACATTTTACAGTTTAAAAGCTTTCTTTTCAGTTTGATCAATATTAGAAATTATTTGCTTAAACCCTACAAAAATTGAAAATAACATATGCTTTTTTGTTTTTTTATTTACTTTATTTTATTTTTTTCATTGTTGCTGTTTGATGTTCTTAGATTTTTTTGTCTTCTTTTAGTTTATCAATATTTAGCACATTTTGTTATTTTTTTCACTTTAATTCCTCAGTTTATTCTTCTTCTTTTTTTTTCGGGTAATATTCTAAACATTTCGGTGAATTTCTGGCAATATTATTGACATCCAGCGAACGTTCTAGACATTTTAACGACTTCCGGTGATGTTCAGAATATTCTGGCGATATTTTGGCAAATTTTCTGATGATATTCCGGTGGCGTTGAATATTTCGGCGAGTCTCCGATGACCTTTGGAAGTCCAGCGGTGGTGGGTATAGTAGCGTCTTTAAATTTTTTTTTAAAAAAACTAATTTTTTGATAATAATTAAGAATATATAGGATTAATTAGTGTAAATATTTTATTTTGAAATTAGATGAATTTTAAATTTTATAATGAGACATATCAATAAGTTTCTCTTTTTTTTTTCTTTTTTTTTTTAACTAAATAAAATGCAACAGGTCAAAGCCCTAAACAAAGGAAAATGAGTTGGACACCCAGTGGGGTGCTGGGAGTCATCTCT